GCGGGCTCTGTCTGGTGGGAGAGGACGCTTAGGAGCGATCGTGTCCACAGCCCTGGTCATCTCCCCGTTCCACAGTTCGACCAGAGCCTCGACAGGAGCACCAGTCTTGTCAGCCGGAAACTCCCCCAGGGCCTTCAGGAATCCATCCGGATCCATCCGGCTCCGGGGGCGGACCCACACAATCGGGTCCGCAACCTTGCAGAGGGAGAGGTCGCTCTCAAGCACAAACCTCACCAGGAAGTGATCTGACCATGACAGGGGAGTCAAACGTAAATTCCTCACCCTCAGATCCCCCTCTTCCTGCCCTGTTGAGAAAACCAGGTCCAGAGTGTGTCCATGTTCATGGGTCGGGCCGATGACGTGTTGAGACAGCCCCATGGCCGTCATAGAGGTCATGAAGTCCTGAGCCGCCCCGATCAGTCCAGACTCGGCATGGAGATTGAAGTCCCCCAGGACCAACATCCTGGGGGTCCTCAACACCAGGTCCGAGACGGTCTCTGTCAGCTCAGATAGGGAGACTGCTGGGCAGAAGGGTGCATGGTACACCAACAGAATCCCCAATCTGTCTCGGTCGCCCAACACCAAGTAGAGGCACTCCAGCCCTGGCCTTGAAGGGACCGGAAGTCCCGTGAGAGAGATGGAGGCTCGGTAAACCAAAGCGACCCCCCCTCCCCTCCCCTCCCCTCCGGGCATGAACATTGCTGAACCAGATACCCGGGCAGGCACATTTGAGAGAGGGCGACATCCCCCCCCCCTCTCCTGCCCAGGTTTCCGTTATGCAAGCCAGGTCGGCCCCCTCATCCACAATCAGGTCCTGGATGAGGGCAGATTTTTATTGACCGACCTGGCATTAAGCAACAGCACCGTCAGGCCTGAGGGGCGACTGACGAGACTACCTGGCACCCTCTGGCTGGGGGCAAAACCAGAAGTAGGGACAGGTGTCCCTCCTTCTTCTACGCGGACACGTTAAGCCCCCACCGCTATTACGTCCATTGCCCATGACCACCCCAATGGCGGCGCCCCCGCGCTCCCCAGGAAACACAAACATCAACATGGCCAGGGACGACTCCATAAAAACAAATTAACACAGATTAAAATACAATAAAATTATAAAAACAATTAAAAAACTCCCCCTTCCCTTGGCGATGTGTCCCAGTGTGACGGCGGTGGCAGCGGCAGTGACTGTGCAGCGCGGTCCAGCAGAAAAACTGAGCCGCAGAATGCGGCTGATGTCCGTAGGGGAAGGGAGCTCCAAGCCCGCCCTGCCCCAGGCCGGCATCGGCAGTGGGAGCAGGGAGGGGCGCGGAAACCCGTTAGACAGGAAGATGACAGCATCCCTGGCGTCCTCCGTGCCCAGGAGGGTCCAGCGATGGCCGCAGGAGCGGCGTCAGCTGGCCCCCGGCTCGGCAGTACGCCCCAGTCCGGCGGCAGCAGCAGCAACAGTGACAGAGCAGCGCAGCACGGCAGGTGGGCCAATTAAAACATAGCCCCTGGCCAGCCCAGCCCCCCGTTTAGCCCCCGAACGGCCTCCGAACGGCAGCGACCACCCTTTGGCCATCACCCTTTAGCCACCGGCCTGAGGCCACCGGCCCCGGCCGGCCGCCAGCACTTTATGGGTCGCAGGGCCCTCCCCAAGCTCCGCCCTGTCTTGGCATGCCTCTCACCCACGCGAGGGAGGCCGGCCGGAGCCGGGTCCTGGGCCCTGGGCTGGTGGTCCTGGGCCGGTGGTCCTGGCCTCTGGAGGGCAACCAAGTGCTCATCATCTTAGTTTTGCAGGAATTCTCCTAGGAATTTTTGTTTCAGTGTGTATTGCAATTTAAACCTTTCTATTATTGCTTAGTTTTATGCTAGTTCTCACTTTTATTTTATACTATAGTCTTAACTTTTTATATTTTATACTGTATTTTATGTTTTAAATTGTTTTTTACATTTTTGTCACCTGCCCAGAAAGCTTCAGCTATTGGGTGATATAAAAATGTAATAAAGAAATACATAAATATAGGCAACTTGGAGGGCAAAGTAGAAGGCGCAATTCCCTGGAACTGGAGCTGGAGGGAAATTCTGCATGGGACACGTGGGCAGGGAAAGAGGGAGTCCTCAGTCGGAAGGCATCATCCACCCTGCTTGTTGCCCAAGCAAAGTGCCAGCCGGACCTGGAAGACTCTAATGCAGGGAACCTTCTGACTTGTCGTTCTGAATAGATCACCACAGGGGTCAGTAGAGCACCAATCCCAACGTGATGACATTTAAAAGAGGCTTCTTATGGAATCTGGCATTTGACAAGAAAAACAAGAGGTCAACAACTATTATGAAACACTTACATTTCAAATTTTGAGGTGACATTTCAAAATGATTGGTTGCTTGCGCCCTCCTTCCCCTTCAGTCCTCCTGCAGGTATCGTGGTGGCAAGGCTGACTCATCTCGGAGCTGTTTCTTGCTCTCTGCACCTTTTCTGCCACTTCAACTCCCTCCCCCGCACTGAGATTCCAAAAGCCGACTTGGCTTGAAATGGGGCTTTCACAGTCCCCATTTTGACAGTCATCGTCAGACCCTTCGGAGTGCCCGAGCAGCACATTGGAAGGGGCTACCAATGCTTGGGGAACGTTTCCTCCCTTTGTCTCTCCACTTGTGCAACTGTGGAGGTGCGTGGTTCCATGACTACAGCAACTGAGCTAATGGATGCTTGTTACCAAACTAATGCTGGTACCAACCTGGACATCAACTCAATGAGGCTCTCAATAGGTTTTTTCTTCACTCTGATTTCTCTTGACAACTGTCAAAAGATGAGCTATCAAGAGAAACCACAGGCACAAGTGATCGTTAACAGCTCCTTTTAAAAGGGGATGGCTTGCATTTTTCCCTGTTCCCAAACACCTAGAGTCTCGGGAACAAGTGGAAAACTGAATTCACCCTCAGAGATCTTGCCAGGCATATAAATCCCATTACCCCTGTTCACGAGCAAAGATTGCTCACCCCTTGACAGCTCAGCTACAAAACTTAGCACGGGACGTAACTCACAGTGGGTTGTCTTGTTGTGTGAGCCTAGTTAAAGGTTATCCCAGGGTTGTTTCGCTCAATGGAAGTGGGTGAAATGAGCCTGCTCACTCGCTTGCTCCCACTTGTTCATAATTTATACAAACCCTGGGTGGTCCTGATGTGTGAACAAGACCAATGTCCGATAGTCCAACCACATCTGCCACGGTGTATATCTAGTCACCCTGATTTTGTCAGCAGTGATATTTTGGTAAATGGTTGTGCAAAGAAGGAAGGACTGAGTCAGTGGGTTATGTGGCACCTGGTTGTTGCAATGCAAGTGAATGCCTAAGTGGTAAGCGGAAGAGGGGAACTGTGAGGTGAACTATTTCCTGGCTTTTATCTCTGAGGCTGAGTAATTCTTTTTTAAACAGAATGCTGAAACTATGATTGATGGTGGTTTACGCACTAACTGCTTTTGTCATGCTGTCATCTATTGCTGTCTAACTTTGCAAGCCCTATTTGACCAGGTATGTTGATAGGACCCTAAGCGATGAATACAAATGCTCTGTGTTTATTCTAGCATCAGGGTAGGCAGATTTCAGGAACTACGCTGAGTTTTACAAGAACCCTGAGATCTACCATTTGGGTTGAGGTACAGAAGAGTGGCTTGCCATGAATTAAATAACACAGTCTAGGTTTTTGTGATAACTATCAGAACTACAAGTTCACAAAGACCTTTACCCCAAAGTTCCCACCTGGTTTCCCTCCATGCGTTCTTTTTTTAGGAGCATAATTTAGGAGAGAGGAGCCTTTTCCATGCTTCCATTGTTAGACAAGTGGCAATCTGTAGACTGGCACACTACTGAAAATCCTCCAGAACTCTACTGGCACCAAACCTACATTCTGCCCACCTCTGCTCTGGCTCACCATCAGGATTGGTGAAAAACCTACCATTTGACCCCAGTCTCTGTGCTCTGAAGACTTCTGTTTTGTTCTGCTGTTGCCCAGGAAGCTGCAGACTCTTTGTGGAGGTTTTCAGGAAATGTAAGAGTGAACTCAGTCCAGTTCAGTGGTCTCAATGGTTGCCTTGAAAAGCGCCACTTCTTCACAGAATGGTGGGGATAAAAATAATACATAAATAGTGCTTTTTAAAACCAGCCTTTGAAATTCCTTGGCATTTTTGCAAATAATATCATGGCTGTAGCTTCATTCCCCACATCTGCAAAACAAACAAGAGGCCCAGAGTCCAACAATCCGCTTTTGAGTTTAAAATGGAATCCCCCAATTTCTAGCCTGGCTTCAGTAACATCTGGAGATGCACAACCTCTCTTCCTAACCTCTCCTCCAAAAGTGCCCACAAGAGTCTATAAATGCAGTCGAATCTGTTAGCTGCTCACATCTTAAGTAAGTCTGACTGACAGCCCCGGGGAGGCATGCTCTCCCCTGCCAGCCCCGGCCCAACCTTCCCATGAGCCCAGTAATGCTGCCAGTTCTCTTGCAGCATCAGAGCTCAGTGGAAGCAGCCACTCCCTGGAACAAAGATTTGAAAATCTCTTTGATTGTCACGAGAGATTATGGCCTCTGCGCTCCTGAAGGGAGGGGGGCATCGGTGGGCCACGGCCCATCCTCCTGCTTGCAAGGAGCTCCTGCGGGGTGCTGGAAGGCAGCACAAAGGGCTAGGCGGGGGGGGGGGGGGGCTCTCCTGCTGGGGACCCTCCAGCGGTGAAGGGCTCTGAAGCAGGAGGCAGCCAGCCTCCTGCCTGCCCCCCATTCTCTGCTTTAGCACCATCTATGATTGAGTTGCGTATAATCCCAAGGATTACGGCTCTGGCCCACGCCCCCCCTTCCCTTCACTTTCCCTTAATATTCTGGAGATATTCAACAATAAAAACCCTGAAAATCCCCAAAGCATCTAAACCTCCCAGGGACAGAATCACTTGTTACTATTAAAAAAACTCTGCCATCAGCACCAGCTGCCTCCGGCCCCAGACCATGCTCTGTGCAATGGGGGGGCTTTAGCAGCCATGGGCAACTGCACCAAAACCCCAGGCAGGCGACTCTCCAAGGTAGGGTGAGAAGGGAGAGAGGGTGGGAGGCAGGGAGGGAGGGAGGGCAGCCCCCTGTCCTTGCATCTGTGTGTATTTGTGACCCCCGCCCCGCCCCGCCTGTGTGTGTATGTCTGCCTTGCCCTTCATGTGCACGCCTGTTTCCCCCCTCTTCCTTCCTCAGAGCCTGTGCTCCGGCAGAAGGCCTGGGCTGGAGGGTCTCCTGAGACAAGCAAGAGCAGTGCCCTTGTGGCTGCTTCCGTCTAGGCTCCTCCAGGACCACTCCCTTGTCCTCGCAAGCATAGCTTAAGGCAGCACGGAAGCCCCATCCCCAAGCTCCAGTACAGCCAGATTCAGTAAGAAAGTACTGGGTTATTCGAACGAGGCTAGGTGTGAGTCACAGGACAGTGACAGTCCCTCCACCAATTTAGGCCTTCCCAGACTAGCATCCAGATCCCTTTTTCTTTTCGCGCATTGAAGTAAGAGCTAAATGTGACTCAGTGCCCTCTCCCTTCTACCAGTGTACAAGCCTGTGCTTGGGCTGGGTAAGTCAGGGTTCAAACCAGGTGGGCCCCAGGATTATTTGTCCTTTGAGAACTCAGGATTCCTAACTATGGTAACTTTAATATCCCTGCATGTTCTCCAGGGTCAGTCTCTCAAAACCCGAGGGTCAGCAAAATGATATGCACCTACCTTGGTATCTACCGGAAGTGCCAGCGCTTGATCAGAGAAAGAACCATACTTCTGGGCATTGGTTGTTATTACTATTTATTTCATTTCTATACTGCCCCATAGCTGAAGCTTTTTGGGCAGTTTATACCAATTCATAAAAACAAAACAACAAAATACCAGACAAATACTATAAAATCAAAGCTGCACTGAAAAAATTAAAGTAATAAACATGTAGTTCTTGATTCAGGCGTGTGGCATCTATGTAGAAGGTTTTGGGCCATCAAGCGGGGGTTGGAGGTGGTCCCACTCAAGTTATAGGTATCAGGGTCAGAATGGGAAGAAAATCATGTTGCCACCTGTTTCAGGGAAGGAAAATGACAACTGCATATGCTCAGTTATATCAAAACAGGCCTTTGTGCATTTTAAATAACTGGGACCATTTAAAGCAGATCAAGATGGTGGTAGCTCTAGAATAGGAATGAGTAACTGGAGAAAGTCCAGATTTGGTTCTCCAGTAAGTGGTGATCTCATTTCTGCCATCCCAATTGTGGTATGAAGTGTGAGTGGGAATGTTCTTGAACCAGCGCAAGCAACACCGTTGTGACCTTTCTGTCCAGTAACATCTTCTTGTCTGTCATCATCTTCGGCCCAGAATAAATTTTATGTATGCACATGATCATGCAAACACAGGTATGTTCTCTCCGCCCTGGATCTGCCACAGGACCATTTTTCTGAGGCATGGGGTGAGATTTTAGATGTGTCAGGACTTATTTAGGAGCCACAAGTATGCATCAGATATGTGAATATTTGTCCATTGGGGTCACTGATGTAGGTGTGTTAGGGCAGGTATCTAGGCCTGTTCTCCTGTGTCTCTGTCAAGAATGTTGATTATGTTGGTGTCAGTGGACCCTGTGTGTCACTTCCATGGCATATTGGCGGAGACACTGCTGCGTGATGGTGCAAGGAAGACAATACCAAGCAAGGGATCTTTTTCCAGAAAGCAATTTGCTCATATAGGTCAATGCTAGGAAGCATATCGCCCCAGATTTTGTATGTTACAGTAGTTTTGCCCAGCAGTATGTGCATATGTTAGGTGCATGTAAAAGGTTTGCACATGTCAGGGTATGATGAGGAATCAGAACATCTCTTCTCCCTGTTGTCAATTTACAAGTGGGGTTTAGAGCAAGGAAAACCAACTATTCCAAACTAGAATAAAAACCCCATAGAGTCACAGTTCTGCTACAGGGCAGCTATGCCACAGCACCAGCTTTTGGAGGGTAATAGAATGTATAGAAAAGCAGAGAAATAAAATAATCTAAAAAAAAAAAAGCAATGTAAAGAATAAAACTTTCCTCCCACAATGAAAATGGTTGGAGGCAGCTCAATAAAATGATGGGCTAAGCCCTCGTGTAGAGAATCCTTCTCTGTGTCTATATCTCTTGCTACTTCCATGTTACATTTCTGCATTTGTATGACTATAGTGTTATTGGTGTGTGACATTACATGGACTTGGCATAGATGTCTGTCCGCATTCCAACATAGATTGAGGCATGTCAGATTCCTTAGAGCATTGGAGATCATTAGATCTAACTGTGGATTTTACTAATTAGAAAAGACACTCAGTTGTGAAGATGAATTTATGGATGAGAACCATGAGACCTTTTTGGAAACCTCATATTATTCCCTTAGCCCAGTTCTGCTTTTCTCTTTCATTATTCTCCTTTCCATATTCTTCATTACCAGGAGTGCTTCCACTGAGGCATTTCTCACAACCTCACCTTGCCTGATTCATGGACATTTACAGGTCCAAATGATGTCACTGTTCTCCATTCTGATCTGCTGTGTTTTCCCACTGCTGCTTCTGTCCTTCCCTTCCCACAGTAAATCTGTGAAGTGGGAAAGGTGGAACAGCTGCCCAATGGCTTCTGAGTGGTAGACCTCCATCCCACGTCTGCCACTTCCCCAGAATTTCCCAGGAGCCTTAAACACCCAGGTCCTGACAGGTGGGGAAACCGGGTCTCTAATCATACTCGGCTAATTGCAAGCTATGCTACAGGAAAATAAGCAGCCCTCTGAGGCTCCCGGCTCCCCAGCCTCTACCAGCAACGACATGGACGAATTGGCTGATGGCGCGCAGTATCCACCGTTGCAGAATTACTCGGTGCTGCATGGCTTAGTGGGGCCAGCCTGCATCTTCCTGCGCCAGAGCATCGCCATCACACAGATGGTATGTACTGCGCTTCTGTCAATGCAATATGCTGCACACGAGAGCACTGCGGCCTCCACAGCCGCCCACTGAGTCTATAGGGGCTGAGCTCTTGTCCTGCTCCGCTCACCCAGCCATATAAACCACGTACTGGAATATTTCAAGTCTGCTGCATATGTGACTCTTTCCTCCATGGAGACTGACCATCTTCATTTGGGAATAAACACCTACATGTTAGCATTTGAAGTGCAATAGGTTATTTCTAGCCACAGGTGTACTGACTTGATGCCTGCCCTTTGAGTGTTCAGTCAACCTACCTGTGGAAGATAAAGCATTCATGCCGCAGCTTGTACATTACGGTCAACAAGTGTCTTTCTTTACGACAAGGGTGGGAGAATTGTAGACCTCCAGTTTTGGCCTACGATGGCTATCAGCCTTAGCTAGCATAGCCAATGATAAGAGATGGAGGGAGTTGTAGGTCAAAATGCCTAGAGGGCCAACAAGCTGTGTACCAGCTCCAAAGAAACTGACTAGTGAAAAATGTCCTTAATTGAGGGATTTTTCCACTGGTCAAGAGCCAAGCAATAAGAGGCACAGATTAACTGTAATTACACCTTTATTTTGGGCTTTAGATTGGCTTCAGGTGGTTCGCAGCTCTTCACAAGTACTGTCTTGTTGCAATCTTTACAGTAACCTTGCAATGTAGGCCAGTATTGTTACCTCTGAAATGGCAGAGCTAAAGTTGAGAGAAGCAGAGAGAGAAAGGCACCTAAGGCTACCGAGAGTTCCTGGCAGAGGCGATATCGCAATGGGTGACATCCTGACATCATTCTCTTGTTCACTGCCTAACACCTGCTTTTGGGTTACCCAGCCCAGCACTTGGAAATTTGATACATTTGCCTTTTGCAGGGGATGGAAGGGCTTTCCTTAGGGTAATCTGTGGCAACCATGTGCTGGAACAATGTTTGCATTGCATCTAACAGTGATACAGCCTGAGGCTGTAATCCTTTGCCAGGTTACTTGGGGCAAACCTTGTTAAATATAGTGGGTGTTAATTCCTCATAAAGATGGGTAGCATCAGGCTGCACAAAGAAAGGATATTCTGTATTCACTGTTGAATAAGCTGTGCAATGGAGACTCTCTTGAAGTTGCTTCTGACTGGTAGTTCAGGATGCAAGAGCAGTGGAATAGGTGTGGGTGGGGCCAAGCAGCCATCTCTTGTTTTCACTGACCTTTATTCCCTTTCTTTCCCAGGACAGAGAACTGCGGCCAGAAGAAATTGAAGGTAAAATGAAAAATCCCACCCTGCCTTTTTACTCCAGTTAGCGGGGCTGTGATCCAATGAGCCCCACCACACCAGATAAGATTCACCCTGCTAGTTCCTTGTTAAATCACTGGAGGGATCTCAGGAATAGTGTATGTCATTTAGTCCATATGAAGAAAATACCCATGGGTAAATATTACATGATGTGGTATCTTTTCTGGGGCCCATCATTCCAAACTGGGAAGCTTCTGTGCAACAGCTCACCCTGAAAACAGGGACCCTCCATTGCCTATTCGGGTCCAAAGCTCCACTGCTATCACTCTGTGCTGCTGAGCTATAGATAGCACAGGCTGAATAGATTCAGCAGCTACAGTCTGGAATGGGCTAAGCATGAATGCTAGTCTGCTTGGTTTGCACCACTGAGGTAACTTCCTTTGCTCTGTGGTCAGACCAGCCAGGAGGCTGCTGCTTCACTTCTGCTTCATCTAGTTTCTTTGACTCAATCTAATGCTTAATCCCACCTTGTCCGTTTGCCTCAGGTGCCTGGCCTTCCCATGCTTTTTCTTTAAAATTTTACTGAAGATTATAAAGAACAAAGCATGCACAAAATAGGTGCATGTGAAAAATATATGCATGAAAACACAAAAATACTTGATTTAATTTAATGGAAAAGAGGCTTGCAAAAATGCACATGTTTGAAATAATACACAGGTATCTTTTTGGAAGTTCTGCATGAAAATACATACAGGTGTTCATGCAGACCTTAAAAAAGAATAATTTGCAGATGGAATGAGCTTAAAAACGGAAAATGAAAACCTGAGTGACACCGAGTTTGAGAGAGTTGTCCAGTCCTACTTTGCTTCCTTGCTTAATTTTTGGACCCCATCTTTTGTTTTGTTACTTCTGATCTCTACAGCTCATCACCTTAACTGGAGGGAAGCTGTTAGATACTGGATGTCAACACCTTGACTGTAAATATGGGCTATATCGTCTATACATTGCATGAAAACTCTCACTGGACAAACACTGAGTATTCTGACCCCATGTTCCTCTAGTGACATCTATTGCCATTATCCCATTGACACAGAGCTCCAAAATGTAGCAAGAGTGCTCGTGGCTGACTGGCACATTTGGGGTAGCGCAGGCTGAGGCCCAGTCTCTCTTTTGCCGTTTACTTGGTGCAAGACATTAGCGATGTCCTGATTTCCAAGGGAAACCAATAAAAAGGGGGAAATAAAGTAATTAAAAGTGGCTCAGAGGTCTCATTCTTCTTGGAATGTAATCCTAAATGTGTTCAGTAGGGAGAAAGTCCTATTGAACATGAATGGAGTCTTTGGCTTATAGCATCTCTTCTCCTTCCAGAGCTAAAGGAGGCCTTCCGGGAGTTTGACAAAGACCACGATGGCTACATCAGTTACAAGGATCTGGGAGAATGCATGCGGACCATGGGCTACATGCCCACTGAGATGGAGCTCATTGAGTTGTCTCAGCAGATCAGTATGTGCCTAGAATTACTAATTCAGCCCAGTGCCCCAAGCAAAACTGCCCTTTTTCAGCATATGTGCACTAAGGCAGGTTCCCTTTCCCCCTTTTTGAGAAAAATCAGTAGTAAAAAGGCTTCCAAGCTCCTCATCCTCACATTAACTAGGCTACCCCATCATTTGATGGAGTGGCCGCCATGCTGCATGTTGAAAGCACTGCAACAAACAGCATAATAGGCACACTTTCACAGAACTATCAGGAGGTAAAGGATAAAGACTTCCTAAACAAAAGCAGGAGGACCATCCATGCCTCAGACACCCTCCCAACACAAAGCCACACACAGTAAATACCATGCGAATGATTGGTGTACTACAGAAAGGCTTACAGATCTGATTGCATCCTTTCCCCCAAAAAACTGAACAAATAACCTTTAAAAGTTTTATTAAACTTTTTTTCTTTTTCATCATCATCATCATCATCATCAGTGCAACATAATGATCTTACGATGATCCTGTGCGTATTCAAGGAAAATGCTTACGACCGCTCTGAGGCCTTTTTCCCTTTGTAAGTGCAGGTCTTTCCCTGCTCTTACTGAACATACAAAACAGTTGCAGGATTCAGTTGAGAAGGACAAGCTAGCAAATGTGAGCTTCTTTCTAACACAGCTCAGGGGATTGATAAACTGACAATTTGCATTTGTGGGAACCATCTCTTTTTAAAAAATGTTAAAGCCATTTAATCCATGCAAGAGAGGGTCAGGGAAGTAAAGGGCAACACAGATGGAAGGAGGTTGCTTGCTGGTTGTGAGTTGGTCCATAGTATAATACACTTAAGCTGCTGCCGTCCTCTTGTGGCTGAAATGGTCTTTCTGTATCTACAGCTGGAGGGAAAGTGGATTTTGATGACTTTGTGGAACTGATGGGCCCCAAGATGCTAGCAGAAACAGCAGATATGATTGGGGTGAAAGAACTACGGGATGCCTTCCGAGAGGTGAGAGCCACACAATTTCTGTCTAAACATGAGAGGAAGTTTAACAGGGCTTGGCTGGGCAGGACTTTGTTCTCCACATGTTCTGAATTACAGAATAATGGTCCAGAGATTATTGGGCCTGTAGGCCCAAACATCTGGAGGGCACCAGGGTACTCTTTCTGCTACTCAAATTTCCTTACAATGGTTTTTGCAGGTAAACAGCTCTGCTTTTATAAATAGATTTCATGTGTGCCATTTAAGGTGGCCTTGAACTTCTATCCTGCTATTGGGTGTACAAGTGTGGAAGTCAGTGATGGGTATGCAGGAAAATGGATTTACATAACTGTTGTTTCTTCTTGCAGTTTTTGTGTGAACCGAGTACAATTTATAGTTATGGGTTCACCTTTTTCCTTAGAGTTGTTCCTTTCTGAGATTTTTTCCCCCACGTTAACCACCCTAAATGTATGTAAAGCCTGACCAGTTTCACCAATGCAAGTTTTCTTAACTATTATTTTTCTTTGTGACTCTCTTGGTTCCTTTTTTGGTCCACTCCGCCTCCTTCACTGCCTCCCTGCCTCTGATCATTGGGAAAGCTGACATGGTTGGGCCTTGTCAGTTTGATAAAACCTTTTCTGTTCATTGGGTTGTGTGCAGCTGCTGGACTACCTACTGGCCATGTTGTCTTGAAATTGTGGGAGTTCCAGTCCTACACACCTGGAGGGTGCCAGGTTGGGAGAGAGAAGCTTGTTGCATACAAATCTGACTGGCTAGGCAGAGCTGGTACTTCAATTAAGCGCCAAGTGTCCTGCAGCCTTTTCTTACTGGCACACCAAGAGCAGGAACAGGAAGGCAGTGATGCTATCCTCAGATTCAGGGAGGTGAAGTATGACAAGAAGTTGGATTGCGCGTGAGTGTGGCAGGCAGGCTACTGGAATTAGGATTCTTCTTCTTCCAGTTTGATACAAACGGTGATGGGCAGATCAGCATAGCTGAGCTACGGGAAGCCATGCGCAAGCTCCTGGGGCAGCAGTTGAACTACCGTGAGGTGGACGAGATCCTCAAGGATGTTGATCTGAACGGGGATGGCCTAGTGGACTTTGAAGGTATCTGAGAAGGTGGAAGTCCTTCCCTTGTGCTCTACTTTCGTCTTACCCATCTGGGGTTGGATGTGAGAGCTGAAGCTGGGAGAATAATTGGGATCTCTTCTGGGATTTGGATCTAAAGCAGAGGTGGGCAATACAGGGCTTGTAAACGGGCCTTGTGGCCCTTGCTGCTGAGGCACTGCCAAAATATATGGTGGTAGCAACACACACATCTCACTGATTTGCTGCCAATAATCAGCAGCAAACTGCTATTGGAACATTACAGTGGTCAAAGTTAATTTGCATGCAAACTAGATTTCATGATTGTAGCATTCCATAGAGATTTGCTGCCAGAACTCAGCTGCAAAGCCAGGGTTTGTTCATTTGTTTTGCTGCCACCACCAGCACATTGTGGTGCCACCTATGGGAGGAGTTCATGGGGTAAAAATGGTGCCCAAATCTCCTGAGTTTGCCCACCCTGGCCTAGAGACTTGCTTAGGGGAAGGAGGAAGTCATTTCTATTAGTCCAGATTTTGAGTTGGTCATGGGGAATTAGATCATTAGTTACAGCTTAGGAGCCAGAACGCCTAGGTTTTCATCGCTAATCAGTAAATACCTAACAATATACCTATATTGTAACAAATGTATGGCTTCCTTTTCAGTGAATGTTGCACTTCAGCAACAGCATCAGATTTTGCATAAACTAGGAAGGTGGCGCCAGTTGAAGCCCTGTCTCTTTGCCCACAGTAGTGAGTGGCTCCCATTCTCTTCTATGAGAAGAATTAAGCAGAGACATCATTTCAAGGGGGTCAAAGTGTGCACTCAGTGAACCAGGACCCATACAGCAGGGGCATGGTTTGTGCTTTCCCAGCTCTTGCACCTCACCCACTTTGTCACATTGAACTCAAACTCAACAGGAACGGAGAATTGACTGTGAGGAGAGGAATCTCTGGCCTGCAGGCATTCTCCATCTGTTCCGTGGCAGCTTGCACTGCTTTGCGGCCCTGAGCACTTTTCCAAAATGGAATTCAGTCTCGTGCTGCAGTTCAATGTTCCTGTTCTAGAATGTGATAAAATATTGGAAGAATAAGGTGGAATATTAGAAACTTGGAATAGTTGAATGCTTTACCCTTTCCTTCTGTTATGGCAAGCATGGAGAACTTCTGGGCACTTTTTCAACAGTGAGAAAGGGAACCTTTCAGTGCTTAGCATTCCCTGAGTGATCTGAGTGAGTCACCTAAGATGGTAGGCCTATAGATGTGTATATATGGATGAGGCATGAAGTGTGTGTTGGTGGGGCGGGGGGAGGAAGGTATAGCAGCAGAGACTCTACCCACTACTAGTACTTGGAACTGCATGCTGTCCCTGGGCCAATTTGCTGCTTGGGTCAAATGTTGTATCCCACCTGCATTATGGTGACATCTTTTATTGATTTTTTGCAGAGTTTGTACGGATGATGTCTCGTTGACAGCAGCTAGTTGCAGCCAAAGGCTGATGTGCCTTATTAAGAGAAGAAACGCCAAGCTGCCATTTAGTCCAACTTGCAGTGAATCTGGCCCTCGGATGTTAGAGTTTTGTCTAAGGACTTTCCACACACCCTGCTTGGAGCCAAACAGCCACTCCTAATGTCCAGATATCCATAACAGCTTCAAATCTTCAATTACATCTTGGACCAGACCCCCAGATCAATATCCTGCCTACCTTATAAGTTAAAGCTCCAAGCGTCGACCACACTTACTTAGGCACTGGTTGTCATTATACCTCACCCTTCCTCTGTTTGCTACAATATTGATCTTTCTCCCTAACTATACCTTAAAGAGGCAGCAGGCTTAACAACAAAACTCCCAAATTGTTCTGTGGGCAATTGTGTAAGATATTCCAAGTGCCCATCCTCTGACCAAGAAGTGTTGATTTTCTTGCCCCTTTCCTCCTCTAAATGGTGTGTTTTAGAATTCCCCCTCCCTTGAATCATACCCTACCCACTCCAGTCTCTAGGATATCATTGTAAATGATGTCATATAAATTGTTGTTTTTCCCAAGCACAGTGGACATGCATGAGCAACACACAGCAGTGGTAAGGAGTTGGCTTGTGGCCCCAAACAGAACACCGTTGGTTCCAGGAACTGAATAGGATGGGGGCTACTCATTGCTGTTAAGCCAGCCTTAACAACTGAATGTGATCTATAGTATATGAATGTTTCATTAGAACTAAAGGAAGTGGCAGCTGTGGTCACGAGGTGCTGGGAATCTGTAGCAAAACTACTACTACTTTGCCTAGTTCCTGGGATCAATTTACGCTGGACTTTACTAATATGAAGCTGCTTTATAGATTGCCTTTTAACTAGGCAAATATGTCACTTTTAATTATTACATTCCCATCCACAGCTGGTGTCAGACTTCTATACACATGTGATTTGGGGAAAATAGGGTCCCTTGGATGCTTACTAAGGAATTTTTATTGCAGAAGTCATTAATGACAGTCTAAGAGCAGAATCCTATGCATGCTTGGACGGAAGGAGTTCTGCAACTCTCAGCATTCCTCAGTCAGTAATGCTACTGTAGAATTCTGGGAGTTGTAGTACTTTTGTCTGAACATGTACCATTGTTTCTTAAAATACACAACCTCAAAGGAATGATTGGTGTGCTCCAACCTATTCTTAAATTCATTCAGTGGTAGTGTGACTCACTGTCCTGACTCAACATCTTGCTCTGAATATGTACCTCCAAAGACTTCCCAGAATCCTCTGCAACACAAAGGGATTCCATGACAAACACACAGGAGTTCCCCAGCAGGTAAATAAACGAGGACAGAATTCCCTCTAGCTAGAAAGTTCCTATGTACCATTTTTTAACTTTCCCACTGAAAATCTTTTTTTTTCTCCATCCCAGTTCCTGTTCTGATTAAGAAAACTAATATGTTTCAGGTAAGATACTACTATCAGTTGTGCATGTGGCTGTCATTCTTTTTCTCACAGATGGAATACCATGCATTTGGCTGTATCAGAACACATATTTAAGCAAATTCAGTGAACCCAGATTCACAGGTGATTTGATTCATGCATATTCTTGATCATTTCACCTATACAACTTATTTCACCTTACAACTATATCATCAAAGTTTTTTTATATTTTTTGTTACTGACAGAGATAATGAACCTCAGATATGAACAGATGATTGTACAAAGAGAGGAACTCTTTACTATTTAATGTATATTAGGGATGTCACCTTATTTATTACACACACAAATATATTTTCTCAGGTCCTATGTATAAGTTCCAATTGATTATGCAGATAAATCTGCAAAAATTGCTATGGATGCAACAGTTCCTTGTGAAGATTAATGTCAACTGTTTTCAGGCATGTGTCCCCCTAGATGATGTCCTAGGACGGACATAACTTCCTTATTTAATTGATTTTGTGTAGTAAATGTATATGGCTGCTTATCAACAAGTTTTTCCTCGGTGGCTTACAGCTCAAAACAATCAAAGTAAATTGCAGAAAAGACAAAATAAATATTAAATACAACAAAAAGCAGCACAAAAAACCTTAGTTTCTAAGAAAGACAGCATTTTCAAAAATGCAGCTTGATTTAACATCCTTATTAACACCTTAAAAATCCAAGGACTGTTGCCTATGGTCTTCACCCATCTCCAAGAGAAGCATTAAAAGCTGGGGTGCTGCTACCAAGGAAGTCCAGTTCTTAGTAATTACCTACCTCATTTTACTTCGTGGGGATACATGGCACAGTGCCTCTGAAGAGGATCTTAAAATTCTATGTGAAAGAAACTGAAAATGCCTGAAAGAAAAGGAATGTCTGCTCCTTGTAATTTGTATGTGCATTAGTGTTTAAAATTATGCTTCTTTAAAAATAAATCTGCTACCTGATTAATCAGAAATACCTTTTTAATAAATCAAAAACATGATCAATCAATTGGCTGAATGTTGCAGTCAACATAAAGCGATTTCCTCGGATTCTTGATTTCTAAAATAAAGTGAATGTGGGCTCTACTCTGGAAGATCCCTTAGAATCCCATGAAGTCTGAGGTGACCTGCAACTGCTCGAAAGTGAAAGAAATGCATACTATGAACGCTCATAACACTATTCCTGCTCATTATGTTCTAGGGCTGGGTTATCTGGTGCTGGTTGGCTTTCATTCAACTCTAGGTCACAGCAACTTGCTGTCTCCAGTTAGAATGAGGGCTTAATCCAAGTGTGTGGAACATATACTCCTCTGGATGTAGTTGAACTGCACGTCTCATCAGCCCTCAACAGCATATCCAGTGGTGGGAGATGATGGGAGCTGCAGTCCAATAACATCTGGAGGCCCACATGTTCTCCATTCCTTGTTTATGTAACTGGATATGCTAAATCTATTCTGTGCTTCTTTGTTGTTTTTGATCTGTAATAGCTTATAAGAACCAATAATAAGGTTACCCATCAAAACTGTGCTTGAGATTCTCTGAAGAGCTCTATTCCCTCCAAAAGGCATTCTGTTACTGTTAATTAAATTCCATTTTTCCTATGGTTTTCTTCAAGGCTCGCTTTTCTATAGAGCAGCATAAGGGCATTTTTCTTCTTTCAGCATTCTAGGCATACAAAAATTCCAAATAAATAAGCCACAAAAATGTATAATGCATGGGGACGCCATCCGGAGTCAGCACTGTCATTTAAGGCCTGTATCCTCCTTGTTCTTACTGCCTCTTCATTTGAACTGTCTCCACAAGCGAGTGGTGACAGAAACAAGAAGGGGCAGCACCTTCTACTTGCCTTGTACTCTGCATCTGGGTTCTGGGGGATGGCAACAGTGATGAAAAAGGGATGAGGCTACTCAGAAAGAGGAACTTCTTGAAGCCATTCTGCACCCTGCCAGCCTGCACTGGACATTAGCAATACCACTATTCCCTGACGGAAGTAAGACTGTAAAAGGAACATGGAAGTTTTATTAAACTAGAAAAAAACCCCTCAATATCATCAAATGTATTTCAGGACATGCATGTTTTCTTTGGTGGAATATGTCATGTAACAAATGTAGCTACAAATGCAACCTTCAGCTTGACATGAAAGCTTTGGCTGAAAGTACCCATTACTGGACCCAATGCTGACACAGTATTTACAGAATCCTTGCCAAATGTTGCCAACATCTCACAAATAGGCTGAAAAATCAACATCAGTTGTTCCCAGAGTTTCTCAGTAGTTTGCTCTTTAAAAATAAAACTGTTTTTCAGTACAAGCTATCAAGCCCCAGCAATTTAAAACTGTGTAGTTTTAGTAGATGCTGCTTAACCTTTGGCTTTCTCAGTGCTGAAACATGTAGTTTTTCATTATCACTGCTGAACACGAATACATCATCCTAATCCTTTCTAAATACAGATCAAAAGCATTCCTGGGATATTGGCCTTTTTGTTTTTGTTGCATCACAACCACCGAGTTTAGGCATCCTTGCTTAATCACAGCATTTCTTCTCCATTATGCTTAACAAGTGGAAGCTTACAGCCATTTGCTAAAAGGTTTAATTTTAACTAGTCAGGAGCTAAATATTTCATAGTATCATCTCTATAACCTAAAATCAATAGAAGACAATTTTGCAAAACTTCACTCCTGTGTTACGCAGTGAGAAATTGTTCAGCATTAACTGCTCCCTCCCAGAATTATTTTTTCCCCTGATCTACAAAGGGTAACATTATAGTTTGTAATTTTTCAATCAATGATTGGTATAACTAATCCTCTTTAAAGCTGAGAGAGTTTACACATTAAACACTTTGAAAAGACTGACCTGAGAGAAAAGAATGAATGCAGGCCAGCACAGAGTTCCCCAAGAACCATCTTGTGCTGATTGGGAGATCTGTCTTTCAAAAAGTTCTGTTCAACTACTACTGTAATTGCTTTCTGGCAGCCAGGAGTGACATGAAATCCTAGTGATTCTTTTCACAAGTTGTGATCTGGTAAGCTACTTTTCCTGGATCATGTCATTTATGACATTAATGTATAATGGCTGCTCCTGAATTTATTATACATGTAAAGTAACTGGCTAGTCAGGACTTGCCAGTAATAAATAACCTTCTCATTATAGAGATAAGAATATAAAATACATCCTAGATCAGATCAAAGGACAAAAGTCCAGCATTCTGTTTTTACAGTGGTCAAGCAGATGGCCTAATGCAAAGTCCACAAGTAGGCCATGAGTACAATTGCTCCATCTGGTAGCAACTGATGCAGGCATACCTTGAAGATATTGTGAGCTTGGTTCCAGAACCCTTTATTTGGTTCCACCACAATAAATTGAGTATCACAATCAAACAAGTCACACTTTTTGTTTCCAGTGTATATAAAAGTTATGTTCACATTGTACTGTAGTTTAAGTGTGCAACAGCATTATGCCCAAAACCCCCCCAACAATGAGCATGCCTTAATTTAAAAATACTTTATTGCTAAAAATGCTAACCATCATCTGAGCCTTCAACTTCAATGAGTCAATCTTTTTGCTACCTCAATATTGATGACTGCTGACTGATCCAAGTGGTGATTGCTGAAGGCTAGGGTAGCTGTGGCTATTTCTTAAAGTAAGACTACAATGAAGTTTGCTTCATTGACTTCCTTTCATGAAAGATTTCTCTGTAGCACATGTTTGGTAGCATTTTAACAGTAGAACTGTTAAAGAACATGATATCATGTTCTTTAACAGTTCACGATACGATCATCAGTCAATCCTCTCAAATTCTGCTTTATCAGTTGTTTATATAATATTCTAAATCCTTTGTTGTCATTTCAACAATCTTCACAGCAGCTTCACCAGGAGTAGATTCCATCTCAAGAAGCCACTTTCTTTACTCATCCATAAGAAAGAACTCACCCATTAAGTTTTTATCATGAGCTTGCAGCACTTCTTCATGCTCCACTTCTAATTCTAGTTCTTTTGCTATTTCTACCACATTTGCAGTTACTTCCTCCACTGAAGTCTTGAACCCCTCAAAGTCATCCATGAGAGTTGGAATCAACTTCTTCCAAACTCCTGTTACTGTTGATATTTTAACCTCTCCCCATGAATCATGAATGTTCTTAATGACTAGAATGTTCTAGAATAGTGAATCCTTTCCAGAACGTTTTCAATTTACTCTGCACAGTTCTATCAGAGGAATTATGATCTACGGCAGTTATAGCCTTATGAAATATATTTCTTAAATAATAAGACCTGAAAGTCAAAATTATTCCTTGATCCATGAGCTGCATAATGTATGTTGTGTTAACTGGCATGAAAACAACATTAATCTCATTGTGCATCTCCATCTGCACTCTCGGGTGACATCCAGGCTTTGTTGTTCCATTTATAGAGCAGAGTAGATTTGACATAATTCTTAAGGGCCCTAGGATTTTTGGAATGGTAAATGAGTATTGTCTTCAGCTTAAAGTCACCAGCTGCATAGGCCCCTAACAAGAGAGTTAGCCTGTCCTTTGGAGCTTTGAAGCCAGGCATTGACTTCTCTCCAGCTATGAACGTCCTAGATGACTTCTTCCAATATAAGGCTGTTTCATCTATACTAAAAATCTGTTGTTTAATGTAGCCACCTTCATCAATTATCTTAACTAGACTTTCTGTTTAACTTGCTGCCTCACCTGCCATTTTTATGTTATGGAGAAGACTTCTTTCCTTAAACCTCATGAACCAAACTCTGTCAGCTTCAAACTTTTCTTCTGGAGCTTCCTCACCTCTCTCAGCCTTCACAGAATTGAAGGGAGTTAGGCCCTTGCTCTGGTTTAGTCTTTGACTTAAGGAAAAGTTGTGGCTGGTTTGATCTTCTATTAAAACTTTCCCTGTATCAGCAATAAGGCTGTTTCTCTTTCTTATTCATGTGTTCACTGCAGGAGCACTTTTAATTTCCTTCAAGAACTTTTCCTTTGCATTCACAACTTGGCTAACTGTTTGGCGCAGGAATCCTAGCTTTCAGCCTCTTCAACATGCCTTCCTCACTAAGCTTAATCATTTCTAGCTTTTGACTTAAAGTGAGAAATGTGCAACTCTTCCTTTCAATCAAACACTTAGAGGCCATTAATTATTATAATTATTACTAACTGGCCTAATTTCTATATTGTTGAGCCTCAGGGAAATGTG